TTCTCCAAACGGGGTCAAACTCTCTCAGAAGTGGGAAGTCTCTGGAAACTTGCAGACCCGCAGACAGTGCTCACTAGAACAGAGTCTATTTTTGGAGGTTTAACCACATACAGAGGCTATAATTTTCTTTTCAGACTCAGTTTGTCTTTCTGCCAACATGATCTGTGGACGGCCTGGCTGGAGGCCATTGGTCAGAGAGGAAGTCCAACTTTAAACAGAATTCGCAAAGTTTACAGTTCAATCAATAACTCTTACTTTTGTAATTCCTCGCTTGTGACTTGCATCATAGAGCAAAGTCCCTCCTCCAACATTGAATAGAGGCAGAATCTGGTTTAATATTAAGTGATATTTTAAGTGTTTTCTATTAGGGTATTGTAGACAGAATAAGAGGGGAGAGAGAGGTGGATGACACTAGGCCCTGGGGATGTTATATGACCAGTGCTGTAAACCCCTAAACCACCAGCCACGTTCAGTAATACTTTAACAAAGGTCCTTGATTCTCTACAGGCTCCTTCTATAAAGGAAAGAATATATGTTTTTACAATTACCATATAACAGAGATATAAAAAACAATATTCACACACACTAGCTACACTGCTGATGAACGCATGCAGACTGTCAGCGGAGTTTTTCACTGAGTTTGTCTATTATGGGTAAGTTAATATGAATAGACTACAGTAAACTGTAATAGTACGTGTTCACAGGATCTGTCATTTCTATGCTTCCTATTTACTGGCTGTGTATTCGGCTACATAATGCACTCTGGTAGCTTTGTGATGCGTTTTGAGAGACAGGGCGTCGTTCTGCCTGCTCCTCACTGGCTTAAAGTTGAGATCTTGGCTATTTTATGCTAAAGAAGGCAGTCAGATTCAGTAACTGCATGGCTACTTCTCATCTCTTTTCATAAATATATATTTGTCAAAGTATCCAAAACGAGCCGCCATGCTGGTCCGGTTTGAAATTCAGGAGCAGACAGCTTACATGTGAAGCGTTCGTCCAGTCAGGTGAAGACAGTGTTTGCACAGCTGGAGGAGGGTGAAGCCTGTAAGCCTGTCAGAAATCTATCGCCATACTGCCTAGTCCAAATCCTATCAAGCGTCCAATGTTGCGAAGCAGTGCAGTTCATCGTGTCCCAAAACGCCCTGTACCATAAGGAATAAAGTTACTACACAACTGTCAGCTGATGCTGGCAAAATAAATCCGGGCAGAGTGGCCAAGACTCCAAGTTGGAACGCTGTTTAACACAAAGTTGTAATTTTCTGTACGCTTCCAGTTTTAAATAAAAAAATATTGACATGTTGTGGCTTGTTTCTGTGTCAAGAGGCCACGTGCACTTTGCATAAAAAGTATAAATACAGAAGATTCTCTATATTACATTTGGATCTCTGTCTCGCATATCCACCACATACCACTGCTTACATGCCTGATGTAGCCTGTTCATGGATTATAAGGGAAGTAGAGAAACGCAGCAGCCACAAACATTATATTTAGGGACCTACTGAAGTACACCTGACTGACATGTTGTTCTTTTGGTGAAGGAAACACAACTGGGCACAAAACTGTAGCCATCTAACGGCTTAGAAGAAAGGACACAAGACAACTTTGACTACATGTTTGACAGTTAGGCTAGAAAACTAAAGCTGTATAGTATAGTAGTATAGCTGTATGTTAGCCACAAGGGTGTTTCATCTGTTCCAAACACTGCCTCTGCATTAAATCCAAAAAAAGCTCATCCACGAATATACCTGACCGACTGATAACAGTTCTGTCATTCTCTGAGTGACGGTGTAGTGATTATCACAGATCTAAGCCAACTGGGTCGTATGAATCAAATGATGGAATTTAATCTGCACATCCAATTAGTCTTGTTGGACAACTAACCAGTGTTTCTCACAGACGGTACGGAGCAGGTAAGAGTTAAGACTGTGGCCTGGGGGGGGGGGGACTAAAGGAAAGGCCAAGGCATTTACACTAAGTTTCTGTCAAAAAGCATCAGTTGCTTTGGACAAACACCTCGACCAGATGTTCTGCTGTATGAAGCTTAAATTATTTGCTTTGACTCAACAAGACAGTTGCATTTTCACAAACAGACACACCCAACTGAAACATGTCACACTACTGTACTCTAAGACCAGACATAGATTATGAAGGAGCGATAAAAAATGGCTGTGCAAAGCAGCAACCAGCGAAACTCCATTAGTCTGCAGGAGGTCGAGATAAGCACCTGACAGGCTGTGATATAATCTAGCGGTAGGTGATATGAAGCTATTTGGTTATCATATGTGACCAAATACTTTTATCCTACAATGACATGCTTTCTCATGAAGGGGGCTCTCCACGATATTGTATGCAGAGCGTCAATGCTGAAGCTAGGACTGGACCTGAATAGCTGAGTATTTGTTCGCTGTGCTGTAATCGGGATATCAATTTTGATATCCAAATACTACCTACTACCCTCGTAAACAAGGAGCACTGTTTGGTACACTATTAGTCAAAATTAGCACTTGTGTCCTTTTACTTATAAAGTTCGACTGAAAACACCGAAAAAAACACATTGGTCACAGCTTCAAAGATGATCTGCAAAAATGCTAACTTTTGGCTCTGCCAAAGTCGTACAGACTACACTCAGAAACAAAAGCTGATATTCCAAATGAGATCCCTTAAACTGTCTCATATTTTAAAACACAGGGCTCATGTCAGGAGAATTTGGAAAAACCAACTGGCTTTACTTTCACCAAATTAAAAGGATGAGTCTGAGGTTTACTGACTGGCTGCTTGTTCAGTCTTAAATTACTATTTGCAAACAGTTAGATAATATTGCTAAACACAATTAATCAACAATAGCGTGCATCACAGAACAGTGCACGCCCACATAGACACTACAGTCTAGTTTCTTGCTTCATGTGATTTGTGTGTTTATATTCTACACATGTCCAATTTCTATCAGCGTGCCTGTTGATCTTTTTGTTGACAGAAATCACGTGATCTACAATTAGCAAACATCCTGCAGCTTTGGGTCTCGTAATATTCAACACGGCATCATTTGCTGGCCTTATTGCTTGATTATTAATATTTAGGAACTGGAGGCTGGACAAGTCTCTCTGATAAAGTGGTCTTTAATTTAGAATTGTGTTAAAAAAAAAAAGTTTCCCTTTTGTGTGGTATTTCGATATATATTCTTGGTTTATCTCTTGGACCAGTGTGACTCAGGGTATGTCCAGAGAGGACACAGCCAAACAGTGTGGGATTATGTAAAATAATTTCAATGTTTCTCCTGAGATTTATCACCCTGATCCTAATGTTAATGTTCTCAGGGTGCTTCCAGAGATTCCTGGGTCAAACCCATCAAATTGGTAATATCATGTCCACAAGAAATTTGGGCGTTTCATTCCTTCTACTTCTTTCCATCCAACTTGTAGAACAACTACAGGATAAAAAAAACAAGCAAGAATTTAGGATGGCCTGATGAACAAAAGATGTTTAGGAGTGCTGGCTGTAATGAGACTGGTCACATACTGGCAACCCTCAACATATAAATGACACCGTGTATAAAATAACATTCACACTCTGCAATCGAATGCAATTTAACAGTCTACAACGAAAAACATCTTTTTGAGACAGATTTTGCAAGATTTTTGCAGTCTGGAGAGGTGTTCAGTTGTAACTCATAACGATCATTGTAACGATCATTTCTACTCTGTCATTTGCTTGACTAAAAAGCCGACTACTGACAGTATGTGTGTGCATGTGACTGCTGCACAGATGGAGTATGTCTGGTGTAGACATACATCAAGCTTGAACCCTGGCTGCAGCTCTCTCCAGTACTTGCTACGAGAGGTAAACAAAAACAGCAGGCAAAATAAGAACCTGTTTCGCAATAACTCTGTAGTAAACATGCAGCCCACCACAGTGATCACCTTAACATCTGATGACCACTGATGACCTCAAATAAATTCATGTACATGCAGTTTAAGAGTCTTTCTCTGACGTATTCAGTAGCTTACACTGTCATACGTTTCTCTAGCTCTAGTCTTCTAAACTAATAATAATTTAATTTGTGCTTTCATGCCTAGAGACACATATTTGAATCCTATTTGAAGTCTGTGGTTTGGCTCCTTGTATATAATGATTTCAACACATTTCTCACGGTCTCACATGACTGATATTAACCCAGTCTGTTTTTCTGACACCGGGGCGACATCATTATAATACAGCAGCATTTGAAATGCACCTGCTGCCACACTGCAAGCCAACTGATCAGGGCCCCCATCAGTACAGCCAGCTAACTGTAAACAGATGACAACATTACCTATGTTTTCCACTGGTTCTCCACACAGGTGGCTACCCGATAAAAAACACTTTTAGTCCTGTAAAATAAAATACGTAGTAGAAGATCTTGCAACGAGTCTAATCGTGGTCGGAAATCTGGTGAGAAATTAGAGCTGCTCTACGCCATTTCAGGGAATATTAGAGGCTTTAGCTTGGCCTTCACGGACAAGAAGCTAAGCTAATGTTAACTGTGTTATCTGAATACATCCATAACAGAAAGACATGACGGCTGCAGTTGTTTGTCATGTGCATCAAGATCTTATGGAGCGTTAATTTGCTGTCGTGACAGCTGTTTGCTAAACATTTAGTGGAGCAGCTATGCTAGCTGGGTAGTTAGCTACGTTAGCAGGCGGTGGCTAACACCCCCACCCTCGACGCAAACGGACAAAAGGCCCAACATAGATCTGCCAGTGTCAACAACCGCTACACCGAAGCAGCACAGGAAAAGCTTGTGTCAGGGTCCCTGTGTGTAGTTAACTGGCACTGTCAGGGTGTTTAAAGATTATTCAAATATGTTAACAGGGAACATTGGAGCTGTCATCCCACCCCTTGCGTCTCCGCTTTTACCACGTCATTGGACTATCCAACACTGCGGAAATACACCGCTAGCTAACGGCTAACAGCTAGCTTGATGCTAACTGGCAGCCTAGCTGGCACTTGCTGCGGCTTACCCGTGTCTCCAATGATGATGTATTTGAAGAGGTACGCGTACGCCATGGCCCCTGGTTTGTGCAGTCAGCTGTCTCGACCGTTACACCTTCGTAAAACCAACCGTGAACCGTGTGAAAAACGTAGCTGACAGCCTGTTAGCCTGTTTTTCTCTGTCGGTGCTCAGGAAGGAACAATAAACAGCCAGAGCCTCGGCTCGACGTCACACGGTCCGCCCTCGCCACGCTACAGAATGATGCGTTCAGGCTCCGCTCAGAAACTTTATGGTACGTTCAAATACTTCGATCATTACTGAAATAACTAGATAGTGTACAACAGAAGAGAGTACACCTCTGTGTAATAACATTTAAATGTCAAACGATTCTAAATTGTATCACCTGGTTGTAATTAAATGACTTTTAAGGCGACCAGTCCTGCTGTTGCTTTTATGTATAGTGAATATTGGTGAAAAGGGAAACACAATATACAAATCGTTCCACTGTCTCACTTCTTAACTTGATTAAATTCTGTAACCATTAACCCCCTTACACTAGTATACAGAATAAAAACTAAAGAATAAATAAAGCACAGACTTGATGAAACCATCTCAAACTCGTTTATTTGGATATAAAAACAGTGAAAATAGAGAAGAATGGGACTTCAAATCTTTTGTCCATCACATAAGCGTCCTCATTCATTTGCTTAAAATAATGATATATGTATGATTTATTTAAATCACAATACACATGTCAGGAGAAGAAGTAAAATAGCTGCAAAGAGCTAATTAGGGTTTTATTGGTGTGGCAATTATTTCTAAGCAAGCAAGTTAAAACTTGTTAGCTCTTCTAAGCTTAGATCTAGCTACCTAACACATAACACATTAATGAGCTTACTCGAACTTCATGTCACACCAACTTTTATGATATTATTTATGTATATATATTTATATACATATTATATTATTTATTAAAAACAGTACTTTTACTATGTTAAAAAAAAACCCAGGCATCTACAGACACTTTTATTCAAAGCAACGTACACCTGAGAGTAGATACACGTTCATTCACCAATGGCGACAGAGCTGCCATGCAAGGTGCTGTCTGCCATTGGGAGTAACTTCGGGTTCAATGTCTTGCCCAAGGGCACTTTGACTGTGGAGAGGCGGGGGATCGAACCACCAACTACTACCTGAGTCACAGCTGCTCAACAATGCATGCGTCATGGAGGAGCTTGCTGGAGGGGTTGTGCTGCTCTGTATTTCACTTTAAACTACCCCAAAGGTGTTCTTTTGGAATCCAGCCAGGCGACACACTTGGCCAGGTCGTAGTGTTCAGTTTGTTCTACTTAATACTCTTGTGTCATTTTGGCAGCGTGCTTTGGCTCATTATCACAGTTCTGTTGACTGGGAGTATTTTTGTATATCCACAGACATTTCTGATTTTATCTATCAATGTCATCCCCCCAACACCTTTTGCACTCATGCAGCCCCAAATCATTACACTCTTATCTTAGTGCTTGGCTGTCAGGACGATGCATTCGCTGTAGTAGTTCTGATCAGGTTCATGTCAGGCTTTTTGGGAACAGATTTTCTTTCTGCTCAGTTTTGAGAAGATCTGTACATTACAATCAGTCTAATTAGTTTGATTAAGGGCAGTATGGTGGTCTGGTGGTGAGCACTGTTACCTTACACCTGTATCTGAATCCCGGCCTGGGGTCTTTCTGTGTGGAGTATGCATGTTCTCCCTGTGTTCTCCGGCTTCCTCCCACAGTCCAAAGACATGCTGGGGTTGACTGGTAATTCTTAATTGTGAATGTGAATGTGACTGTACTTGGTTGTCTGTCTCTAAGGCCCCTTTTCCACCAAGCTGGTTACAGGTCTAGTTCGGAGCCAGTGCCGGACTTAGCACCAGTTCTTTGTGTTTCCACCACCTGAGCACTGACTCCAGGCTCCAAAAACATGTAGCCCTGTGAAAGACCGGTGACCTGTCCAGGGTGTCCCCTGCCTTCACCCTAAGTCAGCTGAGATAGACTCCAGCCCTCCACGACCCTAGTGAGGATTCAGCGGTGTGTAGATGATGATTGGATGGATAGTTGGATTAAAGTAAACAAGCTAGTGACTATGAAGTATCTTTCCCCTAGCACTAGATACGTTTTATTTGTTAAATGTTTGAAACTGCCCTTTTCTCAGTTCAGCCAAGGTGGATGTCACTCCTCATGTTAACTACCTGCTTCTCAGAGAGCCTCCCATTCAGTACACAGTACCACAGCATGCTTTCATTATATTAGACAGGAATCTTCCTGCATTGAAATGCATTAACCAGTACCAAAGACCACCCTATGTAATTCCAGCGGGCTTTATTTAGATTTAAACAGCATATTTCCTACATATTAAACACATATAACACAGTCTTAGCTGAAGCCAAAGACTCCAGCAACTGCATAAAGAACAAGAACTCTCTTAAGAAAGGAAGACAAAAGTACAATTTATATTAAAGGCCAGCAGGGCTGTTTGTGAGATCTGACGGAACTTTACTTGCAGCTGTTGTGCTTTACAGTGACGTTTCTTACTTTTCAGATGACATTATGTTAAATTACATGTATCTGCTGAAGACTAACTCTAACACTACCTCCCTAACCTTTAACCTAAACCACGTCTGTATACTAAAGTGTATTGATATTCTACTATCTGATTGTCCAAACAAATTTAAGTCCCTACAACATGAGTAATACACAAACATAAAATTTTACTCAGGTGTGATCAACAGACCCCTCCAGCTCAAAATACTTTCAGCTCAAAGCTACAAGCAGCAGTGGTTACTTCATAGATTCAAGCGTTCGTTAGATTGCAAGTGTATTTTGAAAGCTGACACAACAGCTATCACACAGAAATGCTAAAAGAAAAAAACTAAGCAGTCACATGACCGAGTCCTTGATTTTCAGATGCGGCATTGTGTTGCCATCAGCAACATCTCAACCATGAAAACGAGGTCAGGGAAGAAACTTTGTCAGCATGACTCAGCCGCTGCGCAGAGGAGTCGGGGCTTTGAGAAAATCTCGTGAAGAAAGTGGATTCAGTGTTTCAGAAAGCTTCGCTCAGGAAAGTCAGCGTGTGACAACAGCTTCATCAGCAGGTGTCAGATCTGAGGATGTTTGAGCTGATTGGTTGAATTCTCTCTTCACTGCCATATGATGCTTAGTTCTGTGGTTCCTGCAGCAGATACTTGACCAAAAACCTCAAGATGTCACCTCTAATTTTATTCTATGATGCTGACCAAAGGTGACTGACAGGCTGACATGGTTGACCTTCATTCTCGCTGGTGAGTTGCCATGGTAACAGGAGTCTAAAAACGGGACACTGTCCTCCCATTTCATGTATTGATCCAGCATCTAAACTGCTTCACTAATGAAGACAATGCTTTCCTGTATCACGTACAGCAACACGAACACCAGTGATTGACTTCGTGTTGATGGATGTGCAGTGAGACATGCAGCAGTAGGTGTTACCAGGTCAGCATAGTTCCTTTCATAAATCTGTTCACATGTTGAACTTGGATTAAAGGAATCAAAGACAACATATGATACAAACCTGTTTGCCTGAAAAAGGATGAAAATATATGTTTTACTGGATAAAGGAAAGAGCAGAGTGTTGTCTCTTTGTAAATGGGAAATATGTTTCTTTATATACATTTAATTTTTAAAAAGGGCTCTTTGGATTCAATAGTCACAACAGTGACAAAAAAGAAAACAAATCTTCATGACTGTGTGGCTACTTACAACACAATACCACTCGATGGCAGCATGTAGAAAAGGTTACTACAAAATATTCAGTGCAAGGAGGGGGAGGACAAAATCACAGGAGGGAATTAAAACTAAATAAAATGTCAAAGTTAATGTGCAGAGTTTAAATATTTAAATTATGCAATCATTTGAATATAAAAAAGTATTACAATAAGTCAACTGTGGCTGCAGGGGAGCTGTATTGGCTTATTGTTTCCTGCAGGGAGAAGCAAAGTGCCATATTTTGGAAAAGACCACTCAGTGAGTGTAGCATGTAGTGACCGTGTCCAAAATGTGCAGCATGTGTCAAACTATCTAATGCAGATGAATAAATGTAGTGTATGCATCTAAAATGTCTTCATGTACTCGCTCAATATTTCCTGTAAGGTTAAAGTATCATACAGTCAACCACAGCTGCTGCCAGTATTTTACTGTCTTTACAGTGTTACAGATGTAATTTATCTAAACACTTAATTACTGTATAATCGGTGACTCCACTATGCAGAATATAAGATTTATGATATAATACTGTAACTACACTTTCCAGTAATATACAGGTTTTATATCTGTTGCCACTGTAATCAACATTTTTTTAAATTTAATTTAATTTTTTTTTTACGTTTTGTCTTTGTTGTTGTGTGTCTACTTTTTGTTGATTTATGTCTCATTAGTGTTGTTTTGTGTCTGTTTTTTTTGGCATTTTCTCTCCTGTTTGTGTCATTTTATGGCAATGTTTTTGCACCGTTCACTTAGCAGCCTGCTGTTTATGATCATTCTTGTTTTTAACACCAATAAAAGCATTAAATATTAGAGTTTTGAACCATATTAAGGGGGAAAAAAATAATACAGCACTATTAGAATTTGGCTGTATTTCAATGTTAATTACGTTTTTTTTTTTGTTTTTTTTTAAAACACATGATGATCCAACTTCAGTAAGTGTTGGACAGGAGGTGACATCGTTAGTGTCTGGTGAAATTACTTGGCCTATATAGAGTGTTCATAATTCCCAGAGGATGAAGCCCACTGACTACAGTGATCTCCTGACTTTTTAAATAGCACCATCAGCAGGTTTATTTTTGTGGTTTCAAGTAATATCTCAACAGTTGATGAGAGACTTGCATGGGTTCAAGAAGTACACTTTTACCTGTTGTAATTTAAAACTAAATGGGGTGGTTCTGTAGTTTAGGCTGGAAAAAGCCTGTTTGACATCTCCATGTAGCAGCTGAATTGCGAGTTGGACAAAGCAGGCAGCTGCTCAGGAGTCCCAGACCCTAAGGGAACCCGAAGCCCCAGGTTGACTGTACTCTATTTCTGTTTGCACTGTTTGATTAAAAGAACATTAGTCAGAAATGTGTCCATCTGAATCAACAATGATGAGTTCTCTGTCCTCCCAGTGATGTATTTTAAGGCTATAACAATGACTAGTTCCATTAAGATAAGATAATGTAAGACAAACTTCAGTGATTCATCACCAGGGAAATTCAGATCTTAAAGCAGCTACATAACAATGAAGCACAGTTAATTATTAGACAAGAGATACAAAAGTAGAATAAAGACAACAACATAGGAAACATGCAGTGTTTAGAATTGCAAATAAAAGTTAAGATCACTTGTTATTGCACTTGAAAAGTTATAATTATCAATATGTGAGACAGTTTTTTTTTTTTTTTAAATAACAGACTGATTATCAGAAAGTATTGCATAAATCGTGGAATGTGCCTGTCATCATTCCCTGAAGCCACTGCTAACATATGTTCACATTTGTGAGCTGGTACCATGTTTGTTTTTTGGGAGCGTTGAACATTTTTGCTACTTAAATATGCAATTTTGAGCATAAATATAAGCATAGCAGCAAACAACTATCTGCTATGACAAGATATAGTGGAGTCTTGAGCAGAGAATCAAGTCACGTTCTCACTGTGTGCTGTAATCCAAGCCTTAGTCTTAGTAGTCAATCTGGCTGAATGTGCATGTGAGTTCCTCCCATTGAAACAATTTTAAAACAGAGTATTTTATTTATGTTATTAATCTAATTTACGTGCACATGTTTCTTTTCCAGTCAATGTGGCAGTCTGCCCTGGAGAAACAGGTGAAGATAACATTATTTTACTATGCCAGGGTGGTTTGTGGCTGGAATATTTTCTGTTGGCTCTCATATATGAGGTGTGTCAGAAAAGTTCCAGGACCGGTGTCACAAAAGATATATTTCAAATCCAAACTACAAACTACAAACTACCAAACTACCTTCAGACGATCAGCCAGCACGTCTACAAAGAAATCCTGCGGTGTTTACGTCATTCAGTGCATGAGAAGAGGTGAGAGTTGTGGCAGGACAAGTCGTGGCTGCTTCACCATGACAACGCGCCTGCTCACAATGTCCTGAGCATCCCACAGTTCCTGGTTGAGAAGAACATCTCCGTGCTGGAGCAACCTCCCTACTCACCCCACCTGGCTCCGTGGGATCTTTTCCTCTTCCCCAAGCTCAAGGAGGTCATCAAGGAGACCCGTTTTGAAGATGTGGATGACATCAGGATGGCTGTGATGACGGAGCTGCAGAGGATCCCGGAAGAATCCTTCCAGGAGTACATGGTGGCGTGACAAAGAAGGCTGGGAAAGTGTGTTAGACTCCAGGAGGATTACTTCAAAGGGGAAAACTTGTAGTTTGGATTTTGTATTTGAAATATATCTTTTGTGACACCAGTCCTGAAACTTTTCTGACACACCTCATGTACAACCTTTGTTGTTGTAAATTAAATGTGAAGGAAGGGGTGAGGCATGGCCGACATGTCCATTTGGTTTGGTTTGATGCTCTGGTGACATCCAGTGGATCCAAATGTCACACACAGAACCTTTAAAAGATCCATCAGTTCTAGAGCACCTGTTTGATTCTGGATAACTGAGGAAATACTGAAGAAAAACAGCCATGTTTAATGGAGGTTAAACTGGTGTCCAACAACAGATTGTTTGCCCCAGGACCCATTAGGAGGTTAGTCCGGCCGTGGTGCAGATGTGGACCACAGGCAGAGAGAACTACATGTTCTGTTTTTGGATTTACAGCATGGAAACAAGGGAGCTTGCCTTCATTTTTGTGACTCCGAGGACAGTTTCCTGATAAAGAATGTAGGGCAATTAACATCAGCAGCCTGCAGGGTATGGGTTAAGAAAGAAAGAAATTAACCAAGGAGGAACAATCAGGACTATGAACAATGTGTCCCTTTTGACTTTTTGCACATGCTTTTCTGCAAAAAACCCCTGTTTAAAAATACATTACAGTCTAGCCAGTTCATGAAAGTATAACAGGGCAGTCTTCAGTGAAACTCATCTGGGACGAAGCACTGAGCTTTTGCCAAAGTGAATGCGGCTGCTCGAGGGTTTGTTCCTCCGTCCATCTTGAAGTCATCAGAGTTAGGAGAACAGTTTGGCCTTTCAGTTTCTCCATTCCCGCTGTTTTCAGCCTATTTTCTCTACCACTGCTGCTTCCTTCACCCAAGGGTGGGTCAGAAACACCAGCATGACCTTCCTGCCAGCATTCCAACACACACACACATACACGATACCACCGGGGTACGCAAAACAGCACCGAGGTTCAGCATAACAAGACACGCAAGTCAAACTGAAACCCACTAATGATAATAAGCTGATGGAAAGAAAAATAATTAAAGCTGATACACTTTACAGTTTACTTGCACTCATGAACGGAGGGAGCGTGGAGGGCAGGGGCGTGAAAGAGAAACACTGATCTGTCATTAGATGGAGGGAAGCCAGGCCGAGCGAACACACCTGCAGAGAAACAGAGAGAACGAAAGGAAGACGGAGAGGAAGAGAGAGAGATAACAGCAGAGTAAAGTGGGGAGAGAAAAGAAGGAGGAGCAACAGAGAGTAAAGAGAAACACTGAGGCAGAGCTCTTCACACACATCAGTTAGTGGCTTTAAGAGGACAAGAGCCAGAGAGGAAAGTAGGATAAGAAGAAAAAAGAAAAAAAAAGGAAGGGAGAAAGAAAAAGACATAAAGGAGAAAGTGAAAGAGAGTTGTTGCTCAGCTGGGAATCCCTCCAACAGACTGCAAAGACTTCAGTTTGTGTCCAAGTGAACGGACAAAGCAGCCTGACTGGGAATCTACTGGGAGCACGGACTGGTTTGTACCACAGCGAGCAGGTTGCCAAGCACCATGGCCGACAACGTGAACGAGGAGTCGGATTATAATCCAGGGAAAGATGAGCTGGACTGGGGTTATGAGGAAGGTAGGCTGGTCTTCATCAGTGTGTAAAGGGATGCTGGGAGATAAAGTATGTGATGGGACACAATGGGTTTAAACAGAAAACTTTCCAGAGCCTGTTAGTAAGTTTTGAAGTGATGACACAGACTTTAAAGCTGAGTTTGGGTTGGTGCACTTTAAAAAGAATCTGTTAGGACAAGACGTACAAATGAAATTGCATCTATCTTGCAGTTTGCTGTCGGGTTATTCCATCTTAAATTATGAGGGGGCCTTAAGTGGACCATCTCTGATTTGCTTGAAACTTTTTAAAATCTCAAACTATGGACATTTAAACTGGCATCTGTGAAATTTTATACTTTACAATTTGAGGCTGTGTTTGAATGACAACAGCTGGAAGCCTCTTAAAGATAAAAGCCAGAAATGTTCACTGTTATTTCTCATGATGCCATTGATTCATGATCTGCAATATTAGACAAGTGGATCAAATAATCTCTGATTATGGATGAGATGAAATATGCTGATAGGGCAAACTGATAAACTGATACAGAAATCAATGAGTGATATTTTATTAACCATATGTGGTTGCATGTCAGACTCATACAAAACTAAACATATAGAATACTTTTTAATTTGAAATACTTGGGCACAAAAATGGAGGAAAAAAGTTGTTTCGGTTGGACTTTCATACCTGATTATGACAAACTGTACCACAGAAGTATTGGTAGCTCAATTGAAGAAGAACAGAGGTCTCGAGTTTCCAAATGGTTTTCCAAATATAGCTTAGAGAACACATTTTTGAATACAGCCATGATAGCTGTAATAACAGTCGTAATTTTAAGTCACTTCATACATCACTTTTTCCCCCCTAAAAAGTATCTGAATGTATTCTACATATCAAATTAAAATTTCTCAAATGTCTTCATAAATATCTGTATTTTAAGCGACAAAAAATTTCCAGCAAATCAGAGATGAGAGAAATTATTCCAAAGATTTGATTATCTGAGATGGAATGAGCCTGTGAAGACAAATAATGGCCCATGAGCCAAATACAGATTTTTCTCCATAATGACAGCTGACGTTTTAACAATGATTGTCTTCCTCACGTCTTATTTACTTTGTCGCTTTTAGATAATGTCTTATAATTTTACTGTAGGTAACAATATACATAAAAGGCTTGTGTCAATCCTATTGTTTGTAAAGCAATAATGCAATTATTCCCATCCTAAACACCAACAGATGGCAGTTTAACAGAAACACTATAGTTGTAGAGTAAATAAACAGGCAGGTGTAGCTCTATTAGCCCTCATTTATCATTGGAAATATTGCATCTGCACTCAAATACGATGAAATAAAACATTTGCCTGCCTCAGCTACATCCATAAATCTATGTTGGCCCTTTATTGGTCTATAGCTCTAATACATATTACTTTACAGACTTTTACACATGCTACAGGGCCTATAAAAACTATTTACCCTCCATGGACATCTTCCCTTTTTATTGCTTTATTTGAAAATGGCACATGCATAAATCTGTCAGGAGCAGGATGTCCTTAGAAACCGAGTGACTGTGCCAGAAAGAGGCCACAAGACACCTGTGACTCCTCTGAAGGAGTCACTTCAAAGGGGTTGAACACTTAAGCAGTCACCTATTTTTACATTTTATACTTTTCTTTAATTGACTTTGTCTAAATCTGTTCGACTTTGGCATTAACGAGTCTTTTTAAGAAAAATATAGAAATTCTGATCGTGAAAGTCAAATTAAATTGACCATGATCCAGTCTTGGAAAGCAATTAAAAGGGAACACTTCCAAGGGGAGTGAATACTCTTTGTAGACACTCTATGTGAGCATCTATTGTCCCTCCATGTATAGGAATAGATTCACCATCTATTAGTACAAGAGTTATATTTGCTAAACCAGTGGTGCCACACAGAGGGGCTACAGATGAATAAGCTGAATAATTATGATTTAACAGGATTTCCAGATGATATCATCCTGAATTGAATAACCTAATTGAAAAAAAAATGTGGTTTTTCTTTTAATAAGTTTTTCTCACAGCACCGTTAATAACTGAAATGGAGGACCATGACCCTTGTTCTTCTGAAGGGGGATGTTGAGAATCAGTATCCTCAACAATATGTGGCAAAGCTGTGGCTCAGGTGGTAGAACGAGTAGGTCAATGATCGGAAGGTTGATTCCACCCTGAAACCTGTGTCATTGTGTCCTTAGGCAAGACGCTTCACCCGCCTTGCCTGGTGTGAATACGTATGAATGGATTGTTTGAGGTGGTGGTCGGAGGGACACATGGCAGCCACGCCTGTGTCAGTCTGCCCCAGGGCGGCTGTGGCTACAATCATAGCTACCACCACCGAAATGAATGTGTGTGAATGAGTAATGTCAGTGTAAAGCGACTTTCAGTGCCTAGAAAAGTGCTTTATAAATCTGATCACACTTCTCATGAATCTTATGCATGGTCTCGTTAAACAAATCCTTATGATGCCGTTTTTCTTTTCTTCTTCTTTACTTGGATTCCCACAATGTAAAAGAATTGCAAAGTGGCTGCTGTCACTGCCACTCACATAAACTTTTGTCTATTGAGGAAATAAATGCAGACGTTCTGTTTTACAACTTTCACGTCACAGCACTGATGTTACTTTCTCAGATATGACCAAACTCCACCTGGGCCACAGAAAACTCCGCTCACAGGCCACACTAGTTCTCTGAGTGTATAATTGGTGGGCTGTTCCTTTAACTCTCTGTCAAGTCAGTCATTTTTAAAAGAGCAAGAAATCCGACACTGCACAGCGTTTGTTGTACAGCTCACCTGGAGCTGACTGCTGTGAGCGCCAATTAAACTTTTCCAAGGAGGGAAAGAAAACCTGTTGTCCTTCAACTTTGCATCGCAAATAGTTTTATCAGCCACTTGGATGTGGTTTATAAATGTTAAACTGACAGTGAGTCATGCATTTATGTGTTCTATGTCTTTTTTCTGCCTTTACTGAGCATCGAAGGATGCACTGTGATGCTGAACTGTACATTTCTTACTGTAAGTATGCTGAATGATATGCAACGCTTTGTATGCATAGATAAGACTCTAATGCATGACTTGTAAACGCTACCAGTGTCCTGTGGGAACCTGTTATCTTGGAATCAGTGCTTTCATAGGGGAGGCAATTAAGTAATTGAACGCTCCACTGGCACAGATGATACATTTCAAGCTGGTTTCTCTTGCAAGGAACATTTTCTTGTAAGAGAAACTGCTGAGATTAGACTCCCTGCAGGACACTTGTGAATACTTAAAGTTTATAATTCTCCAATAAGATAAAAGTACAAAAGCAAGAGTTTCAACTAGAATATGAACAAAAATTTTGGATGTTTCTGAAAGATCTCAAAGTTAAGCAGGCAGCAGTGACAGGTGGGTAATAGTAGAAACTGTACACAATGATAGTATGTTGCTGACAGAGGCCATCCACTAAATTTATCATTTTATGTATAATATCTGGAAGTTTGTGGTTTGAGCTGCGTCTGAATGTGCATCTGCAGTCATGCTAGTTGTTGGAAATTGTTTGATTTCTGTACTGCAAGTTTTTCAGACTCATGACCACCGACTACAGAGAAACACAGAACGGGTTTACAAGTTATGTCATACAAGCAATGTTATGTTGTAGGGGAGGTCTAGACAGAAAGCTGACGAACAGACAATTAATGAGGTAAAATTAGTCCAGTGTTTTCCTCAAACTGTCCGTCATTGGTCCTCACTTTACTCATTTCATTAATACCATTTTGTAAACAGTAATCCAGCTGTAATGGATTACATTTCACTACAAAATGATCAAATGAAAATCAACATTATGATGATGAAAAAAAAAACTCTGTGAAAATCTGGAAACAAGGCTGTAAGCAAAAATATATTTTTTTAAAAACAGTGGAATACTGTACTGTTAAAAAAATGGTAAAAAATAGCAACAAATATCTGTAATATTTTGTTAAAATAGTCATACATTGCAAAAGTAAGAATTACAATTTGAAAAATACAGCTTTTCAATATGGACCCTATATACAGTTTGGGCCTTTTTTTGCTTTACAGTTTACATGTAAATTAATATCTTTTGCTGTGATTTTGCTGCCTGTAATTGACCAACACAGGGATAATCTATATACAGTCAGAAAGATAATTTACATTTTTCAATTCTTAATATTCTTATTTTTTATTTCAAATCATGGCAAATATCTAGAAAATAACATTAAAAAGAATTGAATACAGTAAAATAGTGTGTAATAGTACAGTCATTCATGGCCATTAATAATAATAATAATAATAATAATAATAATAATAATAATAATAATAAGAAGAAGAAGAAGAAGAAGAAGAAGAAGAAGAAGAACGAATGGTAAATTCATAGAAATACAGATTTTTGATGTGGACATTAAATCCTTTTTTTTTTTTACAGTCTAATTCTAAATGAATAGTTTTTTTCTGGTATTTAACTAGATATTACCTGTAACTTAACAAAACAGGGTAAGTCGGTAAAGTAACCGTAAATTGTTGAAAAAATATACTTCAAAACTGTTAAAACCTGCTGGTAAACTTGCATAAACCTGAACACTGAAAACCAACTCCAGCTACAACTTCTTCTTCTCGTACGTATATACGCTTGACTACAATCTACCAAACAAACTACTGCAGAAAACAAGTCTCTGCAGCCTGACAAACTCAGACTTTGAGCCTTTTCAAATGCAGTATTGTAGCTGCAGTGAGACACTCGCTGCTGTCAGTAAATTGTTGTCAAGGCTGTAGTTGCTGAGGAAGCCGGGAATGTGACGACTCCCCACCTCTGTGCTGTGGACCCAACAGTGAGTCAGTGTGGAGAGTCTGCTGTAGCAAGACAAGCTGTGAGGAGCTGAGTTCATTTTCTTGGAGGGACTCGGGCACACTGGACCTTTTATGAACACGATACTCCCTCAATGTGTTTGGTTCCTCTTTTTAAAACTCAGTAGGTTCCCCACATGTTTCACTGTTCTCCCTACACTGGTACCACCAAGCTGAAAGCCGAAGTGAATCTAGACTTTTGGTGGTATCACTTTCTCTGCACTGTGTTTGGTTTGAGCTTCACTCTCTGCCAGTGTAGGAAAACTTAAGCCGACAGCAACAGTAAAGTTTCCACCTGTTGTCGTTTGGTCAACCATATTATAATTTCTCACATCTGCTTCAACCTTAAAAGTCGCCTCCTGTCCCAGTTACGACAGCCTGACCCTCTTTCTGCAACCGCATCCTGCTTTAATCTGTTTTTAAGCACCATAAACTCTGCTCTCATTGTCACAATCACAGCAAGAAATCCTGCAGCACTGAGAGGAAGCACAAGGGGGGATTGCAGGCCCATTTCAACCAGTCTAGTCTTTAGTAGAAGAGGAAGGACTTGTCGTGTTTGTATCGGTTCTACATGTGTTCTTCTGAAACCATCGTCTTACACACACAGGTCTGTTTCCAACACTTTAAAAGGAAATTACACTGACTTACCCAGACTCTAACCAGAACGACTGCTTACCCGACCCCTAGCCACACCTTAAACCAAGTATTCATGGTAGAATTAAATTTGTGTTTGTTGACAAGATGACCTTTATGCTTGTTGATTCATACTTATGGCTGAGTGACTGTATTCAGGTCAGATAGATGCACAGATCTGTGTTTTATTTAGGTACTGAAACACTAAAAACATACACATGTATACATCCATCAGAATCAGTATTTGCTCCACATGAGGCTTCGTGTTCGCTGTGATCCTGAATCTGACAGTTCGTTTGAGGCAACGTCATAAAGAACAAAAACTCACGATGCTTTGAAGCCAGGCAGGTGACCGCTACGGCTACCACATGATGCTGACGGGGTGTTTTCAGTAATTGAGTAATGTTTGGTTGCTCTGCTGAGTCCTTGTGTCAAGTTGATAACAATAATTGCTGCAGTACGGTGCATGTTAGCTCACCTGCATGAAACACATGTTGACGTGTCCCAGTAGGAAAACCTCAGTTGAAAATAACAAAATGAATGATGGCTGAATTCCATTTGACTGATTCAGTTGTAGGATCCTAGACTGGGTTGCACCAGTTATCCGTCACTAAGTCTGTGTGTAAAGCCATATTTTCTCATTTTCAACAACTTATCAAATTGGGATGCACCAGTTGAAAACCAGTAAAACGTTTAGTAGCACTTCTTGCAGCATCCAATCAGTGAAATGATGCAGAAAACGATCCATCATGTAGCATTTATGAACAAGCATTACAAGCAGTGTCTAATAAACTATAATCTTACTGGTGGTTGAACCAATAGCAGCCATCAGTACCTACATCAGTGTAAAGATCAAGTCGCTGTAGCTTGTCATGGATTGTTTTGTTCCATCGCAAATCAACAGAGACCTACTCAACCATCTCTGTTTTATGTCTGAAAAATTCTGTCTATGAAATTTTACACTGATACATCACTTTTTGAGGGTTTTTTGTCTCATAACATTGTCCGTCGACCCACTTTTAGCAGTTTATTTATTTCGCACATTCAAATTTGAGGCTGTATTTGAGCGACAGTATCTCAGGAAGTATTAAAGACAAGTTTGACTGTTATTTCTCATTGTGTCATTGATTCAGAAATGTAAATTAATAATCTGTATTTTTCATACTATAATTTCATAAATATATTATTTTGTGGTACAGTTTGTCATATCTGCTCAATCAGTTATAAAAGCTCAACAAAAATAACTTTTTGCATTTTTTTTGTTGTCATTTTTGCGACCATGTATTTCATATTAAAAAGAATTCCACATGTTTGTTTTGTATTAGTGTGATATGAAACTACCTGTGGTTCAGAAAATATCACTAGTTGATTTCTGTAAGGGCATTTTTCATGAATTAATGACACGATGAGAAACAACAGTGAAAACTTCTGGCTTTTATCTGTAATAATTCCTGAGATATTGTTCTTCAAACAGAGCCTCATGTGCAAAAAAAAAAAACGATGCTAAAAATGTGTTAAATAATTATTCAAAAAAATGTTTTTTCTCAAAATTTATTTGATATATCAATCTAAAAAATTGTAAAATATCTTTATAAATATCCATATTTTATGCTGTAAACATACATTTCAGGCAGATTCGATATGGATGTGCAGAAACTGATCTAAACATGAGGTGATCTGGGATGGAATGAGCCAGTAGTCAGTCGATGAACTGTATTTAGCACCAACCAGGCCCACTGCATGAGATTTTGTGCGACCTGCTTCAATTTAATGTAAACTGACTTTGGAAACACTCATATTACAACCAGACCATGTTTGAACCCATGACCAGCTGGTGCAACTGGCTCACTTTACTGGTAATATTCATGCTGACTTACTGTCACACTGGGATGGTTTACTGGGTCGTTGAATAGAGTTCAGCCACCGTGAATCTGCACCTGCACCTTTCCTGCTAGTCCAAATGTGCTCTGTGAACGAGGACTATTACAACGCTGTGTTCCTGTAGTTACTAAAAGTTTATGCTCAAGAAACTCTACAAATCCTCATGTAAGACTCGTAGAAATGTGTGTATATTTTACAACAATAACGTATAAAATTTTCTGTGACTGTTTTCACTCATAAAGGTGTAGAATGGGGACTCCATTTCCCAGCAGCCAACGGAGAATACCAGTCCCCCATTAACCTAAACTCCAGGGAGGCTCAGTATGACCCGTCGCTCCTGGACGTCGGTTTATCTCCGAACTACGTGGTGTGTCGAGACTGCGAGGTCATCAACGACGGACACACTGTTCGCATCATCCTCAAGTCCAAGTCAGGTGACCAGAAGTGCTGAGGCAACAGGAGGCTCGTTTATTTGTGTCACTGTGGTTTAGTGGCAGATGATGCATGCATTTTATTTGCAATGTGTGAAAACAAATTCTCACAATAAGTCACCCTTTTGCTTTCACTGTTCCCCTGACCTCTTTCGTTTGTCTTCTGCTTCCTGTGTGATCTTTCCCACAATGCCTCGGGTTTCCTGTGCTGTTTCCAGTGGTTACCGGTGGTCCACTTCCCAGCGACCATGAGTACGAGCTTCACGAGGTTCGCTTCCACTGGGGCAAAGAGAACCAGAGAGGATCAGAGCACACTGTCAACTTCAAGGCTTTCCCAATGGAGGTTAATAACACAACACACACACACACACACACACACACACATAAGAAATACAGAGTTCACGTGTTTAGACTTCTGGTTTTGGTATTTGTCCTTCACCAGATAAGATTGTAGCTTGTTGAGTCCTTGAACACAAAATAACACTTTGGATGCCTGAAAGTGCAAACTGAAAAATACACTTTAACTGTTGAAAACAAATTATCTGTGAGTGTGTGTGACTAGAGATTCATCGATCCATGTCTGTAACCAATAATCTGAAAGAAATGCATACATGATTAGGTGAAATAAGGTTAACATTTAATCAAAAATCTAACGGGGAAAAAATCATATGCAAAGCCAGGTTATCCTTAAAGAGTTATTTTTTTTAATGTTTTGGGACAGTTTTTATTCTTCTTTCATTTCTACATTAGAGTAAATGATGTTTGGGCTAACAAATACAACAACTATTTTTAAGCGAAGACAATTTACTCAACCAACAAACTACATTGAGTTACAGGACTTCACTCTGTAATTTAACGTTTTTAAAATTACATTATGATTGACAGCATAAAGACAAGCCTTTAGGTTAATTACCCATAAAAATATGAGTTGTTCCAACAAAGAATTAGTGTGTTATGTAATTAGTGACTGTAAGAATGAAATTTTTAAGGTAGTGAACGTTTTTAAAAACAAATTACACGAGCTTTGGGCTTTTGTGTGTTTGTTCATGTTGTAGCTTTTAAGTAATTATGTAGTTCAAGGGGGAAAAAAGGCAATTTCAAAGCACAATGTTCAAATTTACAAATTAAATTACACAATAAAAGCATATAAATTGCCTCACAAAGACATGGGACACCTACCAACACGTCTACAGTTTAACATGTGTTATCTAGTTTTGTTTAAAATTCAAACAGAAATGACATTTTATAATTATATGTGCACCACAACTTTTCAGCAGCTCATCCATCAAACCAGCATGCAGACTGCAGACTGTATGCAAGTCATCAAACTTTGCAACTCGATGGTGATTACAAAACTCCAGAAAACCACTTCACTAAGAAATCGTTTTACCACGAAACTCTCTCTAAAACTATAAATTGGTGTTTTTACAGTATGTCTGAATTAGTTTAGAGAGTCAACAAGTAAAAATGTGATGCTAAGTGTTTATTTAAACTTTGGTGAAAGCCTGTGTAGCTGTTTCTCGCGGGCTTTATGCTAAGCTAGGCTAATATCCCTCTGTTGCCTGCTCTGCACTGAAAGCACCGACATGAAAATGACGAGAATCTTCTCATCTCACTTTCTCACAATGAGTGTATTTCCTAAAACTATCGTCTCTATCTTTAAAGGCCATCACTTCGAACTCCGGTTCTGTGTCAGACAGCAGGTCCCGACACAAACATCCGGCATTTGGTTGTACTTTAAGGTCAAAAGCTAAACTCTGGAAATGTCAACATGTCTACACCGGCCCACTGGATCTGATGAGGCTTCAGTCTTTGTTTTGTCACTCTGAGTTTATTGTTTAGTTTGTTTTGGTGGTGTTACCAATATTTTTTTAGCCAATTGTACAACTTAACTTAGCATGCTGACCGTACAGTTCATAACATTGACATTTCTCAGTTTAAAATTGAGAAAGCATTACATAAAGTGATACCATTGTTATATTTAGACTATTGAGACTATAGCCTATATTTAGAGATTGGTCCGGCTATGTTCTTTTCCCTATTTTGTTCCTCCTAGAATCGAGCGCCATGCCAGTGTTGACTCCAACTCTTCTCCGACATCAGTTCTAATTCTTTTTATCCAGCTTGCCTTCGTTAGATTCATTTTTTTTTTCTCTTTGTGGCGTTTACGGTGGAATTTGTGCTGTGCTGGTAGCCATTTGGTCATTTGCTGACATTTGTGGACTCCATTTCTAAGCTAGCGTTGCAGAATGTCATCAGTGTAGAAGAGCAGAAAAAAGGCAATGCAACCGGGAGTGAGCATAAGAAGTCTGGTGCTGAGTTCTTTAAATAGAAATCACTCAATGGGCTAGTACAGGCATCCAAGAAATTTGGTAAAGAAATTCTTATTTTTTAAGTTACTTTGCAATTTGTTCACCTATTGACTAGAAAAAAGTGACTAATACATGCAAATTGCTTCACAGTCGTATGCATAATGTTGTTAAAGTTAGAATATGCAAGTTCTGAAAGAATAAAAGTCTCCTCACATGAATGAAAAGTGACATTTCTGAGTCAGTATGCTGACTTGATGATTCTACATTAGTCTCTGCTTGAAGTCCTGTGAGGGACCGAGCTGCAAACCACAAGGACTCGCAGGAGAATTCAAAAGCAGGGTTTTTATTTCACCCAAAAATTACAAATAAGATTACAAAAAAACAACACTAAATTCAGGCCCATAGAGGTGGTCAAAAGAACAGTTACACACAATAGGGGAAACATAAAACACCTACAGCTAAACTAACAACAAAAAGCACAAAACAGTACAATTGGTGTACTTGATCAAGAGAGTAATACCAACAAACCCCCAAAATATCCAATTACCCAACACAAATCAAATGAATGAAGTAGTATTTAAAATAAATAAACCCGGTCCACCCCTCGAGGTGGCAGGCACTTGGTATGGTCTGATTGATATAAAGGCCTGGTGCTTGCCTGACACCTGAATCCAGCCACGTGACCACAGCTGCCCAAGACCAGATACCCAGAACCGGTAAAACAAAGAAAAGATTGAAACTACTACTACAGCTTGAAACAATGCTGAACATCCAATAGTTAACTAAACGTGTGCACGATAAATATAACTTCAGTACTTAAGCAAAGACTGAATAAATGAATGTGTTGATTGAAGTGATGCATTATGTGTTGGGGTTACTGACATGCCTGGTTGGGATGGCTGCACAGTTTTCACACAGGTCTTCTCTTGTGATGAATTTAGTTTTTGCAAGTAATAATTGTTTTCTCTGATGAGCAAATGTGGAAGTAGCTTGAGTTTAATCTAATGCATGAACAGATGTTAAGGAAAAAGATCAGGATCACACTGTTCACAGTCAACACTCGTTTCTTTTAATCTTTTGTGAAGCCAAACTTGATTATTTTATATGTATATATAATTCTAACTAAACCTAAAACAGTCAGATGCTTTATTTTTTGACAGCAATTTGTGTCAGTTTAGGATAATGTATTAGCAACACATTTAGCTGTGTGAAGGACTTCCTGAGGCATCTACAAGGATAAATCTGCTGATAATGATCATATGATCGTCTCCTAACGACTAGGATTGTTTGTCCAAAGCCTGACATGTCTGTGTCATAAAGCTCTATTGTTTTTGGAAAAAAAAACACATCAGCGATTCTGTGTGACCTGTTCTGTGTTCACGAACGAACTAATGTCACAGAATCTCACAAACGCTGCCCTGCTGCTCCAAATATTTATGAGAACACCACCCCCAACCAATATCATGTTTCTTTCTGCTGGAATAATGTTTGCTAAAGATATGAGACTACCATCTGCATGTTTTAGGACAAACGGAGGGAACGTGATGGACTCTTTCATTCTTGGTTTTAGTCTTTTAATGATCTTATGATATGGAAAATCACCAGATTATCCCTTGAAACTGGACTGAATATGCGTAAAAAGTGGCTCTTTTTATAGGTCAAGGCTGCGTTTTTCAACAGTCCTTCACTCCCTGTTTTAGGACACTTCTCCCCACTTGTGCAAATTGCAAAATCAATGTCCAATTAGGAGGTTACAGAGCAGGATGGACCTGAAACCTCAGTGATGACGGAGGTTTTTTTTTCTGCAGTCTGGTGTTAAATTTACCTTCACCTCTTCTGTTCACATGAACTTGTAAGAGCTCATAGAAAAAGCTCTCAATCACCACCAGCTGATGGTTTTACTCACTTACTTGTGCTCCCTCCACCTGTTCACAACAATGAGCTCTCAGTCACAGGCTCTTTTCTGTTTTCAGCTTCATCTGATTCACTGGAACAGCACTCTGTTCAACACGCTGGAGGACGCTCTGGGGAAGAAGAATGGAGTCCTCATCATAGCTCTATTTGTACAGGTAGAAACATCCACAGTGAGAGCCAGAGGGCGGCTGAAGTAGGTTTTCACAATTTATTCATATTCAGCACAATATCCATATGAATTGGTGCCGTTCCTTGCCTCAGTACTTACCTGGAAATCTGAGCAAGGGCCTACATTTTCTCTATTTTGATATTGCAACAAGAAAAACAGTGAAAAAACAAGCTGAGCCCTATGACTCTACCTCATGCTTGTCCAATACATGCAGTACGTTTGTGTGTTTTTTCATTCATGATAAGAAAAACCCTGGATGAACTTCTGCTACAACACATGCAGCTGACAACAAAACGGCTTTACCCAGAATCATCACTGAATTCTCAAATATTTATATAGATTGGAAGATATTTGTGGATGTACAGTGTTTCACAAATACAATGCTGATGGCTTATATCTACTGTTACTGGCCTCACACACCTCCCCAGTTTTTATTGTTCTCTTATGCATTGCCTGTTTTCTATCTGCTGCCATGTTCTCTTCCCCTCAACCCGACAACACCTGCCCTCCTCCTGACCCTGGCACTGCCAAAGGTTTCTTCTTTTTTTTTTCCCTGTTAAAAGGGTTTTATTTCTTCCCACTGTTACCAAAGAGCTGCTCACTGGGAATCATTTGTTGGGTTTCTCTGTAATATAACATTGTAAAGTCCTGACATTCAGTATGTTGGAAATAAGAGCCATATAAATAAAATTGAGTTAAACTGAATGTCTTCTAATAGACGCAGTTGAAACCGAGGCAAAACTAAACCTGCTAAATACAACAGTCCTATAATCATTTTTATGTATTTCTTTTCTAATATTCTAGTAGTTCCCCTGTTTTGCTTCTTTTTTTAATATAACAGTACAATTCAATAGCAGCTCCAACTACAGCCTACAAATAGCAATTTGCAAAATATAACACAGAGTTCATTAAATATAAGCTTCATGAAGGAAAGATAGATTGCAGGTTTGCTTTGCTTCACTGCATTAGTTGTAGCTCTCAGATTTAGCTAATAAACTACTAATTTCTTGAATGTGTTTCTATTTTCAAAAAAAGTCCTATTTTTCCCACCATGGTCCACATTTTTAAAAACAATGACTTTTGCAGCCCGCTATCAGCCTAAACGTGTTTTCCCTTCCTGCTTTTGTAAAAGTTGTTTTTACGAGTGAACAAGTGAATTCCAGATTAGTCTGAACCAGCCTGAGTAATAGTTTAAGTGTGAGACAAGTTGGAAAGTACTGTCTGCTACATTCCTGTGAAATTCCAGGAAGCGTGAGCCTCGGCTTCCCTGCTGGGAAACCCCTTAAAAACCTTTTGATTTGTATCAGCTGAGTCAAACCTGTGAGAAATGACGTTGGCTCTGAGATGAACGGAGTCATGCCAGCCGAGGAAAACACACCCAGTGAATAAACAGCGACAGTCAGTTTCATTCTACTTTTCACCTCAAACCCTCCTGACCCGCTGAGACCTCGTCTTAACCCTGTCAAACTCACACGTCCTGTTTTCAATGTCTGATTTAACATCTACTTCCTGTTTACTTCCTGTAAGGTAGCAGAAGTTATAAATTAAGCCCTGCTCGAAGCATTGCTAACATCCTACAGACAACCACTGATATTCACTGAAGCACTGATAAGTCCTTCCTGAAACCCAGAATGCTTGTTTGTTGTCAGATTGGTAAAGAGCATCTGGGTCTGAAGGCCATCACTGAAGTTCTACAGGACCTGCAGTACAAGGTGAGGCCACAATGGGAACGATCAGAACGTATTAAATGAACTTCAAATTCTAGATTCATGACCACATTGTTAAACTTGATACACAATGAGAGTAATTGTTTTGTGTTCATTTCCATCAGGGAAAGAGCAAGATAATCCCCTGCTTCAACCCCAACACTCTGCTTCCTGGTAAGAAGAAAATGTTTTTACTTCATACTAGGGATGTCCTGATGACGTTTTTATTATCCTTGATCTGATCCAAGTCATTTGATATTTAGCATCTGCCAATCTGCTGCCATTTTCCTGGATAATGCACACTCAAGGTTAATAAAATCAATTCAGTGTATATGCTTGACAAATGAATGGCTCTGCAGTGCAATAAGAACAATATTGCATTTCTGCATGATTAACATCTAGCAGCAAGTGTGCCACAAAAATGACTTTAAACAATGGAATGCTGTAACAGACTTTTTCTGTACAATAATATTTATTTTTAGCTAATTTAAATACAACCAAACAGTGTAATATATGGCCACACACTGTAAAAGAACAAATTACTATTTGTAAAAATGCCAATGTGTGATTTGTGCATTATTTAGACCTGTTTATTTTATTTTATTTTATTTTATTTTATTTTATTTATTTTATGGTCTATGTATAAATTGTTACTTATTTTATGTGATTTTATGAGCTATTATATTTGTTATGTACCATAATAGGGAAAATCTGTAAAATAGCTTGCAATTGTTTTTTAAAAAAATAATCTGTGATGAACATAATCTTTCTTTAAATAATAAAATATATCTGTAAAATAATGCTGCAGATTCAAATACAGTAGAAAATGGTGTCATTTTATATGGAAAAGTTATAACAGAATGCCTTGTCATTTGTAAAACAGTTTTTTGT